ATCTTCAATTCAACTAAACGGCAGCATGAACTTACACTGATAATTTAATATCTGAGTCAAAATGAAATTTTGTTATTCATTATCTGACCTCGTAACCTAAAAATTGTCCAACTCTCGGCCTAAAAAAATTTAGAAACTACGTAAAATCATCGCCTTTTTTCAAATACAGCTGTCGTTGTTTGCTTTACTGACTGAATGTTTCTTAAAAATCATTTCAATTTTGAGAATATTCACAGCCCATTTGGATATTCTAAACCTACTTCGGAACTTAGCACGAGGTCCACCCTCATTTCTTGACTTATCTGGTGGTAACAGGTACCTGTTGATCCTAGAACCTGGTGAATGACCTTTTAAAATTATTGACGAAAATGTATGAAATCCGGTTCGCTTATATCTTCAAAATTTCTCACAACGATAGAAGCTTTCCCTTATCTCCTTTAACGTGGTTTAAACTGCAGTGTTGGGATTTAGTTTTTACTTGGATCAATCAATTCAAACTGATTTGCTTTTCACGATACTTTTGGAAAACCTCTTTGAAAGAAAAAGGAATTTTCTCTAACAGTGAAATAAGAGAAAAGAAAAGCCGTGCTTCATCGCGTAAATGAGTGCACTTACAAGAAGAAACAAAAGAACCCTTGTCTAAAAATGTATTTCTTTACATTCCTTTTCCTTGATACGGCCATTCCTCAGAGTATTCCTTTTTACTGATATCGAAAAGCATGAAAATCAAAATAATATAAATAGTTAGTCTCTTCCAATAGTTCACCGGTTTATCTTTATTTGCTCGCCTAGGAATTCGAAGAATTAATAACATTGATTCATAAAAATACATTGGATTGCTTCAGAAAATTTGGGCCATTATGGTGTAACACGTTAGCCTAACCCTACCTGACTTTCCTCGTTCCTAGGTCCAAATTAAATAAACGTAATAGCTGCGTTTCTGAAACTTCGAAATAGCATAACAACTATTTTAATCCATAGCCTTTTGTCAGAAAAATACGTTGCTCAGTTTCTAATTCAAATTAGTGATTGCCTAAATGATTTCTTCAAGCAGGTGGAATAATTTGATACATCTTTCAAAAGCCAGTGTCAACGTCATGCATTGAGAACAACAGAATTACCGAACGTCCATCGCAAACTTTTACAATATATTGAACCCTTGCTTAGAGCTACAGCACGACTGTTTATCTCTCCGTTATTGCTGTGATCGCCACCTATCACCTCTTGGTAAGTAACCATGAGATGCTTAGCTCTGCCAATTGTGAAATCTATTTTTTATTATTATTGATATTTAAAGCAAAGTCGGACAGCTTGTTTTATTCTGGAACTACCTCACTTCCCTTTTCCCTTTTAATGAAATCTCTGCCACATTTAAAGTAAGTTACAGTGCGAAGCAAGTACATTTTTAAGTCGTATTTTACAAACTTTTCTCCGTGCGCTAGATGTTAAGAAATAACTCCTCCACCCTCAGTTTTTATGTCACACTGATCGAGGTAATTGCAAACGGTGCTACGTGGGTGGAACTTAAAATCTCTCGGCATATTGCGCACTTTCTTGATTAAATCTATGATAGCACCTCGTTTCACGCCTGTATTAAAAACAAAGTACAGAGTGAGAGTTTCTACGATATCAGTCATACTACGATTTGAATTAACTTGAGACTTGAAAGACATTTCAAAACGAGGAGAGTTTTATAATTGCTCACTCAAATATGATATTTCGGTAAGGTGCAACAAAATGAGCTTCCGAATCTCCACTTTAAGGTTGTTCCTATGTTGACTTATTTTGCTACAAATTCCATCATTGCCATGTAGAAGTTTTACTTCTTTCAAAAGATGATAACCTGAGTTTATGATCTCCTGCATATTTTCAGTCAAAATCAGTAATTTAATATGCGGTGTAAATTTGTCATTCAATGGGTAACATGCTAACCTGACCAATTTTATATTGACCCATATTTGATTAGCCGGGTTCATACTGAAACACATGCTTGTTGCACAAATGAAAGGCGACACAAGAAGACTATCTTTCTTACCAACGTCTTGTTAATATGTTAAAAATTTCTGGAATTCCTTTCCGTTCCGGTCAACGACTTCCCATTTAGGTGCTTTTAAACTGATGTTACAACTTGATACCTGTTTGATATCAATTTCAAAGGATTGTTAAAGCGCAGATAGGTGGAATCTAGCGAGAGAACGTTCAACGCTAAGGGGAAGGCACCGGGAACTGTGTCCCTTAAGTTCTTCTTTAATCCTTGTTCATTGCCACGGGTCTGCTTAATATAGATTCGATCCCTTTTTCTTTAATCAATATGTGGCAGACTCTGAATCTCATCACTTCTACCAAACTCTAACTCTGATTCTTACGAAGTACTAACTTGCGAACCAACCGACCGTATCGGGATCCTGACCTCCTTTCACGAGAATTTTACGAATGAACAACAACTTACCTCACGTTTCTGATCAAAAAAACAATCTTTGATTGCGAAAGCCAAAAACAAAACAAAAAAAACAACTTCAATAGTGTTGGTCTTGGCCAAGAACAGAAGTCCAAGCAGGCCCTTCCACTACTGAATGATAGCCAAGTTAGTCAACATAAAGGATCTTATCGTAATAGCTAAAACCCAATTGAATATAACTTCAGACTTCGAATTACAAACTTACCGTGACACAATGAATCACTGAATCATACTGCCCTATAATTCACTGACCCCACGGTAGTAATGAAGTAAA